GCAGTTCAATGTTCGAACGTCATACAAAAAAAAAGATGATAGCTTATGTCGTAAATACTATTACCTCTAATCAGCAGGTGGCGTTGGGCTTTGTTGTTGGTTACAGCGTGGCTGGTAAACAATCAGAAGCGAGATAGCGATAGGTGGGTGTAGGGAACACCTAAAATTGATTCATATCGTTGTATGATGTGATGATTTGTAATACAATTTGGCAACACCAAAAAATCATAAATTGGTAAGCCTATGAAGATTTTTTATTAAATATCTTAAGTTATTCTAAATTTTATCCTTTTATTTTTTGCAAAATGTCTAACATTAAATTGCATTTGTTTATTTTTTAGCGTTAAACCAAGCCTCACTGTGCTATAGCTGATACAGTGAAAGTGACACTCAAGTGTCATAGTCTACAGAATTAGAATGTCTACGGGCGTTGAGAACAAGAGAAATTACAAAGAATATTATATATTTTGTTCTCAATGACTGTAGTTGAAACTTTTTATAAATATTGTAACTTATTTTGAGTTATTCTGAGAATATAATGGTTAATGTAGATCAATTAGCTAAGTTTGTGTATTTATATGCACATTACCAGACTGTTGAAACTAGGCTGGGCTTGTGTTTGGTTGCCCTGTTGCTATTCTATCGAGCAATTATTAGCAGTCTTCATTTTCACCTCTTTTGTAGTAAAAGCGCAGAACCCTCTTATTTATATTGAGAATTTGGTATAAAAAATCATATATAATAATAATAATAACAATTAATAAAGTCGAAAGTAATATATATATATACAGATAACCTATAGTTGGTGGTTCAGAATTAGCGATGGCCCCACCTTACTTGCTTTTGCTGGTGCTAAAAACTTCTCTAGCATGTAAATGGTGTAATCATAACCAAAGCCATCTGTAAATGCCATGAAGTTAGGACTATTTTTTTAGTGTAACTAATGAAGGAAGAGTAATTGTTAAAAAGACAGAAAAGTGATCTTAATAGTAACACTTGTGTATGTAATTCAAACAAAAAGTTAAAGCATTAAGTGAACAAATAATTACAGGTGCTTGCTTTGCAAGTTGCAGTTAAATTCTAAATCAATAAGACCAAAAGAACAACAGCTGATTAATTCTAATACACTTAACATCAAGCTTTGTCACATAAGTTATAACTGTTAACTTTTAACATCCAATTTGCTAGTCAATGAAACCAAATAAGGACAATGAGCCACAGTTAGGTGTCACAATTTCTAGTATTCAAATTATAATAAAAAAAAGGACTTGATCTGTAAACCAAAAAACAAAATACACTTTACTACAAGAAACTCAATTTTCAATAATGTTCACAAAGATGCAGTGTTTAAGGGGGTTAGCTAGACTGTACAAAATATTCATGTTTAGGCAGGTTCTGCACTTAGTCACCTTACAGCAGCAAGTGTGTTAAGTAGTATTAAACAAAAGTTCTGTATTGCCTCAGCCAATACTAACCATAACAATAAAAGGTTTATGATATTTCAACAAGCAGCTAAATATTTATATTGTGAATGTGTAGTGTAACCATAATTTTTTCCTAATACAGCTGGGCTATTAATTGAAATAATTGAGATTAAATTGATTGATGTCACAAAAATGATCAACCAATTGAAATTACTGTTTTTGATTTTATTGTTTTTCATTATTCTGGTTATCCAAGCAGTCAAGATATTTCCATTATGATTTCTCATTATTTTCAATTAATTCAGAATGGTTCAGCTTAATCAGTTAGTGTCATGACTTACGAAAATCAACTAATTTAAATTGGTGTTTCCAATGATTACAGATTTTGATATTCAAAGCATTGAAGTCTTGTGAGATTAATCAAATAGTTGAATGTAATCGATTAATGAACAAAACTGTTAATTGATTATTAAATTCCACTTATCATCCATCTTTATTTCTTAGAATATGAAAAAAAAGTAGAGAATACATATTACAAAAAATAGTTGAATGCAATTTATTAAATATTTAAAGTTTTTGTTGAAAATTTTCTTTCTGACCTAAGTCTGAAGGAATTGAGAATCAGCACAGACATATCATGACCTGTGTTTTTATTACTTGAATGGCAATAAGTGTGATGACATTAGAATTCACTTGCTGCATTTTTCCTACCTTTAAAATTTAACTTATTTTGCTGAAAACTAAGTATTACATGTATATGCAGTAGGTTAAGTTAGCACTTTGTAATTAAGCTATATTTCTTTCATAGGATTTTAATACTTATATTATTAGATAAAAGTTGTTAGTCATCATACTGTTTTGATCTATAAGCCTATATGGCAAAGCTCGATATAAATCTTAATTGCCAATAGAGGCATTCCATTTGAATACTTTAAAAGTGTATTGATAGCCTAATTTGTGTCATAACTAATCTTTGTAATGTTATTTCTCAAATATATTTTAAGTTGTTTATGAAGAAAAAATAAACAATACATTTTATATTTTACTTTATTTAAAGGGCAAAAGATAAAATGTGGATAATTTTACTAATACTTATGTAGGTTATTGTTTTGCTTGAAAACATCCTAATTTGATGCTGGAATAACCCAATATGAATCCTTGGAATTGCAACTGAGTTGAGACCAATCATTCTTGGATTAGATATCTTAAATGTTAAAACTAAAAAAGTTTTATAAGTATTGTTACCAAGTAGAAGAAAACTTGGGTGATTTGTTTGAAATACCAAAACTGGTATAAAGTTTGGACAAGTTATTGTGATTGGTTGATTTGAGATTTAGCACAATAAGGTTTCCTTTGTAGACTTGGATGTCTCAGAAAATATCTAGAAACTCTAGAAACATTGAAGTCAGCTTTTACTTAAAGAAAAATAATTTAAATGCTGTTGATTTCTTTAACAGTTTACCAGATAATGTTAATAGATGCTAATGTTGTTAATGTTTATAGATGCTAAAGATTTTCTTTTCAATTAAAATTAGAGGTTTGAATGTTCGGGAAATTGATTGAGAATTTTTACCTAATAAACGGCCTTCTATCACCTGTTAGTTCTTATCTTCTGATCATGCTGTAGCATAAATGTTGAATATTAAAGATCTTGATAGAGCTATTTTTTATTTATGGATAAAATGTAAAAATGTTTACCTAGTACCTAGTATCATTAGGTGGTATAAGTCTTGAGAGGAAGTGTACAACAGACAACAGTTTGAAAGGAAGTGTAAAACAGTTTGAAACTGTTGCATGTTTCAAGAACAGTAATGATATTACATCATTAAACAGCAGTGTAATATAGATCGTTATTGATCTTGAAATCTGTGACAGTTTCAAACTGTTTTACACTTTCTTTCAAAACATATACCTGATAATGCTAGGTGAACATAGTGAAATGTTATACTTTTTTAACAGATTTACCTGTTTAACTGTAAAAACCATAAAGATATTTTTTAGATTGACAACTTCATCCTAAAATTTACACAAATTATTCAAACTTATTAATATCCACTCAAAGAGCAGTTTTACTTTTATAATACAAAATACCCTTAGGGTAAAAAATGCAACTTTTTCTGTGGTTAATTGTAGAATGATAAAGGTATTGTAGTGTAGAGAAAATAATGTGAACAGGTATTAAGAAAAAGTTGAATTACAATTTGTTTTTATGTTGACCTGTAGAACATTGTCAGTGCTCTTTTTTTGAATCACATATTTTGCTGTGAAGAAGTAGGGCTAGTTTTGAGGAACTTTTAAATATAATTTTACTGGATTTGTGTAATGTAAAGTAAAAACAGTATGATACAAAACCTTTAGTTATATATGTGAGGAAGATCTACTCAGCTGATAACACCTGTTTGAATAACTATAAGAACACTAGTATATACACACACACTCGCATTTGTTTTGGAATGGATCAATTGTAAAGTCAATTATAATGACTTGGTTATTCAATTCTGATATTATACAAAATTGACTGTGATATTATTTTTATACATGCAAGAGTTGTTATTGAAAACAGCATATGATAATTAAGTTGCAGCATGATATTATATCAGATTAAAATTTTAAATAATGTTTTTTGTATCTTGTGATTAAAGAGTGTTTTGTTTTGTTTTTTGCAGTGAACTTGTAAAATTGAAACAGCTGTTTGGAGAATGATTTCAAAAAATCTGAGCAGCAAAAAAATAAACATTTATCAGTGTATTAGAACCTTTACAGAAAACTTGAGTTGATGAAAATATTAATTTGGGACTACAAAAACAAAAGCTTTTTAAAATGCCAAGGAAAAAGGTCTTGAAATGCATTGTAGATATCAAAGTTCAAGCAGTAAGTCAATATTTTATGAAATTTATAGTATTTATCTCTTCTTTATTAAAAAGGTACACTTTTTATATAACTTGTTTGTCGTACCATGTGCATAAGATTAACTTGAAAGTACATAATTAAAAAAAATCTGTAAATGTACTACAGTTTTACACTTCCATCTAGTAATGAACTGTGCACTGTTTGTTGTGCATTCAAATAGAAATTCATTATAGCAGCTTTAGTTTTCTTGTAGCCTATTTTAACTTTTCAGTTTACTGCCTGAATTTTTTTTCTAAATAAGCTTTATGTCTTTTTTATGGATATCAAAGAGTTTTTATGACTGCTATTACATGTACATTAGAGGTTATTGGAGAGATAAACAAAATATAAGTACACATCCTGTGGAGGTATTATATCAACACATTTATAACTAAGTTAAAGGTAATTTTTTCAATAGGAAAAGTTTTAGAAATTTATTACATTTAAAACTGTCTGTAATACTAGATATATATATGTTTTTTTTCAATGATTCACTGAAATTTTACTTGGAAGTACATAAAAAAGTTGGAATGATGTAAGTTAAGCACAATTAAATTTGATTATAAACTTGTAGAAAATTGACTTTCTTTACCTCATGTGCAATAAGTAATGAGCATATTTTTTAATCTAAAAAATTGTAATTAAATTATTTTCAAGAAACATATTGTGATGATAATAATACTGTCATACATTTATTTAATTGTATCTGTGCAGAAAGTCTAATGATGGTGGTTGACATAAATATATAATTTTACTAAAACTGCTTTATTGTTTTTGATTGTATAAGTATAATTTTATGATATACTTCTAAGTTGCATTTTGTTTAGAAATCT